GAGCAGTTGCATGGCTTGTTAGTGTGCAATAGCGAATGTGCAGTGTAGGCCCTGGGGAATTCGTTTAAACAAGTACTGATGTCCCTTAAAAGTAAATGCAAAGTGGGCCCAAGAATCGGGATGCAATGGGATGACAAAAAAACAATTTGCCAAATCTATGACAGAGAACCATTTAGGAGCCCCCTAAATGGTTCTCATCGCTTGAGGTAGATCTGCTGCTATTGGTGCCATTTTATTAAGTAATTATTAATTAATTGGTGCCAATTTATTATTTTTTCTAAAATCCATTGTCAGTCTCCAATCTCCTGAGGCTTTTAGTACAGGCCAAATTGTGCTATTGTATGCAGGATTCCCCTTTTCAGTTATTCTCTGTTGTTCTACTAATTCAATTATTGTCTCAATTCCTGCCTCTGCTTCCACACGATATTTATATTGCCTCTGTGGTAGCACTTCAGCCCGCACGATTTTAACACATGCTTTTATTTTACCCCATTCTGCTTTATTCTTAATCCATACATCAGGAAACTCCTTTACCCACATCCTGTTGATCCTGTATAATCGCCTCCACTGCTTCTGCAGCACATATTCTTGGAATGTACCCTGCAGTAGGGCACTTTCTATCCAGCTGGGCACACGATGATTACATGTTCTGTTCATTCCCAATGAAGCACCTGGCATTGGCCACTATTGGAGGACAGGAGACTGGGCTAGATGGACCATTGGTCTGACCCAGGATGGCCGTTCTTAAAAAGAGCAAATGTTCAGGGGTTTCCTTGTCAGAGGTTTTCCTTACCACTCTAGAGCAAATGCAGATATTAGATGAACTATTAGTGTTGGTGGGAGATTGCCAGATATATACACACATTAGACCTCACGAAGGGATATTGGCAAATACCTTTGATGCCAGACTCCTAGGAGAAGAAAGCCTTTTCCACGTCCTTAAGCCTGCACCAATTCAAGATCACATCATTTGGCCTCCACAGGGTGGCAGTGACTTTTCAGAGGCTAAAGAACTGGATATTACACCTGCATGGGCAATATGCGGCGGTACACTGCTACAATTAGTTGAAATGGTTTTTGGTAACATATCTTGTGGCAGCATTCCCACACATAGTGCAGATGGCAGTACATTACACAAAGAAAAGACAGCCATCCTTCAGTGCTAGGGTGAACAGTCTGCAAGACTCATTTTGCCCTGACAATCTGAGCTCCTGCTATTGGCTAATTATTTCTTCACTCCTGGGGAAGGATTTCAAGATGTAGTTCTCTAGGGTGTACTTTCTGCTCTTCCTGCTGCTCACAGAGCTGAGGGAATTGTCCGGGAGTCCTGTCAACTTGAGAGTCCGCAGGGAATGTACAGGGGAATCATAAAAGCTGCCCAGTGCTGTGAATGTAGACGTGTGAGATTCATATGCCGATTCTCAGGGCTCTGCATTTCTGTCGCAGTAAGGAGAATCCTTCTCTGCTGAGTGGGATTTCGGTGAGTTGTGTGTTTCTGCATTATAGTTAGTGCTAAGGGTGGGAGGTGGGAAGGGAGGGAAGGCAGGGACATGCAGTATCCAAATCATAATGGCACAGAGTCCTGAAACTGGGTGAAATAAGCAATGGACACCCTGACAAATACACAGACCAAAGAGGCGTAAGGAGGCTTCCTGTGGCAGTGGGGGGGGTGTCTCAGGCAGTAACGTAATGTGGATCACACTATAGCAGATTGTCTGTGATGCCATCCCCCATCCAGACCATTCATCCTCCCGTGAGCAACCTCCCTACAGCCTCATGGTAACATCAGCAATTGCCAACATGGAAAAGCAGCCTCAGGAAGGGGTGTCTGGGTTTCTAACGAGCTGCAATATGTTAGAGCTGTGCATTATTTT